GGGTGGGGGTGGGGCCGGTGGATCGCGCCGCTCCCTCCATCTTTGTGCCTTGGGCCCCGAGCCCACGCTTAGTAGGCCGTGAGTGGTGGTGGCTGGAGGGCGTTCGGTTTCGAGCGCGGGAACCTCTGCGGCGTGGCGTGGAGGCGCGATCCCTCAACCTCCAGCACCCCCTCCCAGGTCACAGGCTCCGCGCCAGCACCCTGGGACCCAGGTCTGGGCTCGGGCTGCCCCCAAGAGCCGCGCGCCTCTCCACTTCGCGCTCTCCAAGGCCGCGGAGGCTGCTAGGCCCGGCCCCGGGTTGGCGGCCTGGCGGCTGGGGAGGTGCGGAGAGGGTCCTATCGGTCCCCTCTGTCGGGTACATCTCTCCCGTCCGTGTGGGACGCGCGGCCGCCCCTGGGACGGGGAGGGGAGAGGGACTTCCGCCTCGAGTGGGCTGTGGGAAAACTTGGCCAACTTTTTGGCCCACTTCTAGCAAGGCGACTCGATCTTGTTTTTCCTACTCTTATTTTCCCCTCGGCCTGATTTCCTCAGCGACTTGTTTTTTACCTTGTATTGTGTGTATTTTTGTAAGCCACCTCAAACCCTCTCTGGAAGGAGGCAGGTATAAATAAATTCGTAGGCAAATAAATATAGTAGCTTGTTCCCCTCCAGGATTACCCACACCCTTGAAATCCAAATAACTCGACTTACTGACCCCCACCTTCACGCTTTCTGGATTGTAAATGCCCTGAGTTCACTGCCTTGGCTTTCTTTTCCCTTTGAATAAGTCTTAAGCAGAGGAGCGAGTGGTAGGGATAAAAAGATGAGTAGGATCTAGTCCTTGTCCCAGCGAATTTCACGTCTAGAGAAACCAGAATCAAGCCTGCACTAGAGAAAACTGAATAACAGTACAGGAGATGCCATGTTAGAAAACATTTCATTCAGTAGTTATTGAGAACCTACTGTGTAGCAGGAACTGGGCCCAATTCTTGGGGTACAATCAGTGAACAAAGTCCCCCGCACTCTTGAAACTTGGACCAAGGGGTCAGGCGCTTAAAGACTTAGAAGGAACTACAGGAGGAGAGGATGGGAGCCCAGGGTGGTCAGGGAAGTCCTGGAGGAGGACGGGCTTGAGCAGGCCTTCATGAGACTTGGATAGTTGGGTGGCTGAAGAGTTGGGGACAGGGCAGGCAGGAAGAGGGAGCTATTCCAGGCCAAGGACCTGGTCAAGGCCTGGAGGATTGAGGGGTTGGTGGATACCAGAACCTGTCTTCCCCACAGGAAGCATTTTCGGTTATTGGAGTCAGCCTGTACAGTTTCCTCAAGGACGACCCAGTGAGCTTCAGTGAACCCAACAGGAATGTCCAGGGAATGGGGAGTTCGAGTCAACTTTACATATATTGGGACGCTGACTCTTAAGCTCGTTTTCTAGTTGAGTAGGTGAAAAAACTAGTGTGGATGTTTCCATTTAGTTCTATTAAGTATTTGGCTTGATGCATTTTCACAAAGTGAACACCTTTGTGTCACCAGCATGCAGACCAATAAATACAACATCTCCAGTACCCCTATGTAACCACCATCCCAACCTTAAGCAGCATTTCATTTCACCTGTTTGTGCACACGTAGAGATATGGAGTCTTATATTTTGTATTCTCCTGGGTTAGTTTCCTTGCTCACCCTTATGTCTGTGAGGTTCATCCATGCTACTGTGTGTGGCTGCAGAATGTTCATTTTCAGGACTGCTTAGTGATGTGATATGAATGTACCACAATTTTATATCCATTCTGT